CTTGAAAAATATTATAATGATCTCCAAGGTTTGTGGCGTGAAATTGATTTTCGCCGTCCAAATCCAATGGAGTGTGCTGCAGATATTCAACGATATAATAATCTTCTTCAAGAAGAGAGAGTGTATATTTTCTTAGATGAACTTGATGACAAACTTGACAAGATTCGAACAGATGTACTCCAAATGCACCCGTTTCCCACTATTGAGCAGGCATACGCACATGTTCGTAGGGAAGCTATCCGGCAAAAGGTCATGATCACCAGTAATAATATTGAAACTCTAGGAGCTGTTTTGGCCTCCAAAAGTGTTAAAACGGGACAACCTACTTCATCCTCAACAGGCTCTCTTTCTTTGAGCAACGAAAAAGTTGGTATGTCCTCTAAATCTCGAACATCTTCTAATAAAACTAAGTGTTCTTATTGTGGTAACTCAAAGCTTACCCGGGAGAATTGCTTCAAACTACATGGCTACCCCGACTGGTGGCATGAACTCCAAGCCCGGAAACGTCAAGACAAGGCTAAAACTGGTGGTAAGGCTACGATGGTTACAGCAGAACCCCAACTGTCATTCACACCGCTTGTTGAACTACCACAAGGAGACGTACACCTCTCAGATTCAGGTAACAATCTTCCCCACAACACCGTTGATAGCAATGCATGGATACTTGACTTGGGGGTTACCGACCACATGACCTATGATGCCACTGATTTTTCAAAAACTTCACCACCAAGATGGACTACAATTGCTAATGCCAATGGGGCCATATCTCCAGTCACAGGAGCAGGTACTGTAACCTTGTCACCTACAATATCCTTAAAGAACACTTTGCTTGTTCCCTCTCTCTCCCATAAATTACTATCTGTTAGCCAAATTTCCACTGATCTAAATTGTGTTGTGCTCATCTATCATTCTTTTTGTCTTCTTCAGGATATTCTCACCAAGGAGATAATTGGGCATGGTACTAGGAGGGGGGGGGGGGCTCTACTACATGGATGATCTTAATATGGGTCAAGCACATCATGCACACCATCAAAGTAATACCAAAGAACAACAGATTTGGATCTGGCATCGCCGGTTGGGACATCCATCATTTGGTTACATGAAGCATTTATTTTCGGATTTATTTACAGAAATGCAGCCTCGTGATTTTCAATGTGAAACTTGCATCTTAGCTAAGAGTCATAGAACTATCTATCCTTTAAGTATGAATAAAAGTAAAGTTCCATTTGCTTTAATTCACTCTGATGTGTGGGGGCCATCCCCGGTAACTACGGTGTCTGGGTTTTGTTGGTTTGTAATATTTGTTGATGATTGCAATCACATGACATGGTTATATCTGATGAAACATAAAGATGAAGTGTTGACTGTATTTCAATCCTTCCATATGATGGTGAAGACTCAGTTCTCAGCTAAAATTCAGGTTCTCAGGTCTGATAATGGCGGGGAATACATAAATCAACGGTTCCAAGATTATTTCCCGGATTCATGGACTACTTCATGAGACTTCATGTCCACAGACTCCGCAGCAAAATGGCATTGCTGAGAGAAAGAATCGGCACATACTCGAAACTGCTCGTGCTTTGCTACTTGGAGCACATGTACCTAATCGACATTGGGCTGATGCTGTTGCTACTACTGTACACCTCCTTAATCGAATGCCATCACGCGTCTTACATTTTAAGACACCATTACAAGCTCTTTCATCACATGTCTCTCTGCCATCCGTGTTGATGATTCCACCTCGAGTTTTTGGCTGTGTGGCATTCATACATCTGCATAAAAATCAACGCACAAAACTTGATCCACGAGCAACTCGGTGCGTATTTTTGGAGTATGCGTTACATCAGAAAGGATACCGATGTTATGATCCAACCACCCAATGGACCTATATTACCATGGATGTTACTTTTTTGGAATCTGAAACATTCTACTCTCCTTCCAAAATCAATTCTTCTCTTCAGGGGGAGAGTCAGAGTGCAGAACAGAACTGGTTTCTACCCGATTGGCTAAATAATAGTGATTCAACAGAAAAGATGGTCAATGAAGAACCTTCTACAACTGGTGTAGTTTCAAGAGAGACATCTACAACACCGGAAACGTCTACATCACCATCGCCACTTCCAGTAGAAGAAATAGAGACCCCAACCTCCATAGTACCCAAAGACCCATCTCCTGAGAATATTCCTGAAGCGAATGACCTTGAGGTAAACTCTCCTACTACACCTTCAAGCTCTAATTATATGAATACTTCTGCTGGTTACACTTTACCTTTCAGGCATAATCGTGGCAAACAGCCAAATAGATATTCTCCAGAGATTGAGAATTGGAGGCGTATCCAATTGCCAATTATGTATCAACAAAGAGACTCTCCAAACCTCTCAAAACATTTGTGCAAGAATTGTCCTCACATCATATTCCCACCAGTGTTCAAGAAGCTCTGACAAACTCGAAATGGACACAGGCCATACAGGAAGAAATGAAGGCACTATTGAAGAACAAAACCTGGACTCTTGTTACCTTGCCCGAAGGGAAGAAACCTGTAGGGTGTAAGTGGGTATTTTCCATTAAATACAAAGCAGATGGGTCGATCAAGAGATACAAAGCGAGGCTGGTCGCGAAAGGTTGTACTCAGATACATGGCGTAGATTATCAAGAAACCTTCTCACCAGTGGCAAAATTGAATACGGTTAGAGTTTTATTATCTCTTGCAGCAAACCTTGATTGGCCGCTACACCAGTTCGACGTAAAGAACGCTTTCCTCCATGGTGACCTTGAAGAGGAGGTGTACATGGACATCCCACCTGGTTATACAACAAATTCCAAGACCAAAGTTGTGTGTAAACTACAACGAGCACTATATGGACTGAAACAATCACCGCGGGCATGGTTTGGGCGGTTTAGTCTTGCGATGAAGAAATATGGCTTTCAACAAAGCAATTCGGATCATACACTATTTCTAAAGCACCAACGAGGGAAGGTAACAACCTTAATAATATATGTAGATGACATGATTATCACCGGAAATGATTCAGGAGAAATAGCAACTCTTCAAAAGCAATTGGCGACTGAGTTTGAAATGAAGAACTTGGGAGGGCTCAAATATTTTCTAGGAATTGAAGTTGCTAGATCAAGGAGAGATATATTTCTATCTCAATGAAAATACACTTTAGATTTACTATCTAAAGTAGGACAGTTGGAGTGCAAGCTGGAAGACACACCAATTATACAAAACCATAAACTTGGAGAATACACAGACCAAGTACCTACCAGTAAGGAGAGATATCAAAGGCTGGTTGGTAAACTTATTTACCTCTCACATACTCGTCCAGACATCACTTACGTGGTCAGCATGGTGAGTCAATTCATGCATTGTCCAAGCGAATATCACATGAATGCTGTAATGCGAATTCTTCGATACTTGAAGTCCTCACCCGGAAGATGACTTATGTTCTCAAAGAATAATCATCTAAAGATTGAAGGCTATACAGACACAGATTGGGCTAGAAATATCTCGGACAGAAGATCCACCTCGGGGTACTTTACATTTGTCGGTGGAAATCTTGTCACATGGAAGAGTAAAAAACAGAAGGTGGTGGCCTTATCAAGTGCTGAAGCTGAGTTTCGGGGAATGGCTAAAGGGCTTTGCGAGCTTCTCTGGCTTAGAAGATTAATGACTGAAATCGGTTTCTCCCCAACCTCTGAGATGGACCTATTCTGTGATAACAAGGCTGCCATAGATATCTCTCAGAATCCCATTCAACNGGCTAAAGGGCTTTGCGAGCTTCTCAGTCTTAGAAGATTAATGACTGAAATCGGTTTCTCCCCAACCTAAGAGATGGACCTATTCTGTGATAACAAGGCTRCCATAGATATCTCTCAGAATCCCATTCAACATGATCGAACAAAGCACGTGGAGGTGGACCGGCATTTCATCAAACAAAATATCGAAGACAAAATCATCCGATTTCCTTTTGTCAAGTCTGAAGACCAACTGTCGGATATACTTACAAAAGCTGTATCCAGTAAAAACTTCCACAGATCACTTAGCAAGTTGGGCATCCAAGATTTGTACGCACCAATGTGAGGGGGAGTATTAGCGTGAGCTGTCAAAGTAGGAGGATATTCCTTAATTCAAGGGACAACTCCTATCCAGAGTCAGTGATCACTTATCCTTATCATAGGAGTAGTTTGTATTGGACAAGGAAAGATGGAAGAAGGCCTGTATCTATATATATTCATTCCCTGTAAAGGAAAAAGTGAGGGGAACAAAAGAATAATATCTTTCGTTCTACACGAATTGTCAATTATAATAAGGCATAATACAAATTACTAATGCTAGTTTTTAGAACTATAGGCATTTATTTATTTTATTTAGAATTAATGAAGCCTTTATATCCCCCAATAAGAAAATTTAGTAGAGAAAATAGAAATGTACAAGAACCAGACTCTAACTTAGAAAACCATTATTGATTTATCCATCAAAAGAAAAAGAAAAACATATATATAAATTAAGAAGAAGATGATCCAGGCACATAACATTCTTGATAATGTAACCTAGCAGAAATGAAACAGAAGTCGACATGTTTGTTGCTGCTTCAACTTTGGCTGGTTGTATGGTATGTGGTACAATGAAATCCTAAAAACCGAAAAAGCTGATAACCGATCAACCAGCACCATAGCAATTGCCATAAGATAAAAATTATTCAACCTTCTTTTCTTTTTCCCAACATGATGTAAGTTTATGTACGTGATTGGTTCCCTTTATGTTTATTTAATAAATATTTGTACTTTATTTACTAATAAAATAGAGAAATGCAATAATTACAATCGTTTATAACAATTAAGCGTCATTAAATGCCACTTCAACCTAACAATGAATAAATGCCTGACAGTTTAGCTTTAAAAAATAACTTAGACCGGCATACACATAAATCAAAGTTTACTTTTTATATTTTTAATATATACAAAAAAGCAAGAGACAGAAAATGCATGACACTTATATAACACCACCCATAAACACGTTTACTGAATAAATGTGAACGAAACCAAACTCCCTCGTCCTGGCCGACTTAATGAAGTGCTTTCCTTTGCACTTTAGTGTGAATGATGGGTGATGATCTAACATCATGAACGGATCTCTTTTCTGTTTGATCTGTAGCCTCTGCGACCGATCTTTGACATTTGGGCAAGTCCCAAAAAGCTTTCAATTCGTTGATTCAAAATGGAGATGGGGCCGGTTATCGGTATCAACGCATGCGTGGTACGAAGCTTCTACATTCCTATTCAAGTGACCCATTTCCATTCCTATTCGGATAACTACCAATTGTTTGGTACGAATAGGATTCCGATTCTCATTCTACATGTATGTCAAGAAGTAAAGAATTAATGACAAAAAAATACCCAAATCTTAATATTAATAAAATAATAAAATATTATGAAAGTAATAATAAGATAATTATAATGATAAAATAAAATTATATTAATTAATCATTAAAATAAAAATAAAGTATTTATCAAATAATAGTACTATAATAAATTAATAATAAAAAGCAATAATATTATTTAATTAATAATAAATAAGTATAAATAAAATAGTAATATATTATAATTAAATTAATAATCAAATAATAAATTATTAATAACATATAATAATAAAAATATTACTAAAGTAATAATAATATATTAATAAATATTCATAAATTAATGATAAATACTAACATATTAATTATTTAATAATAATCATTGCATTTTAAAATAATAAACAAAAATAATATAAATTAATAAACTGATAAGAAAATGATAATAAAATATTGGGTTAATTACAAAGACCCCCCTATACTAAGTAGTCTATGACCCCCCTATACTTTGTTTTGCGTTAAAGACCCTGTGCTATGACCTGAGACAGAATCCTCCTTCTGTTAGCTTTCCATTAAAATCCGCGTTACAATATTATGCTACTCTTATAATAAGAAAAACACTATTTCACCTTCCTTGACCTCACAATACACAAACAGTAGTGGAGATAAGGGGAGAGAAAGGAAAATCGGGGATTACCATCGCTGCTGTTCTATCTCTGCAATATTTTTCCCTCGCCTTTTGTTCACCGCGTCTCTGTATTTTTCCTCAGCATCAGATCCAGTTTTTTCCTTGACATGTTTCCAGGAATGAATCACTTCGTCCCGCGTAGAATTGTAGTCTCCAGCAAAACTTAACCTTCCCTGAATTGCTGGCTTGATCATGTCATTCTGTTTCAATCAACAACACTAATTTGGGAGTTTTAAACAATTCACTCTAAAATTAATCCTTAATCTGTTATTAACTTGAAAAAATAAGAAAAGCAATATCGTTTCGTCATTGTTGTTGAGAAAGAGCAGCTATGCGTTGCCTAAAAATGATATATACAAAGAAAATAGCCCAATAATACAATTGATCCAACGACATTACATTACCTCAGGATCCGGAGAAGCAAAGTGGACTGGAGTAGCGACGTGGAAGACCACGCCGCATCCAGAGACAGTGGCATCGAACCTCCCTTCATCAGTTAGATCTGCTCAAAAGAGTTTTAATTCTCCCGAACTTTGGAGCTCCAGGAGGTGCGAGACCTTCTTCAGGTCAAATAGAAAATCGGAAAGCTCCTTGCCTTTCCCTTTCCATAAGCCATTATCGAAGCGGTGTTTCATGCCCTGTTCGCACTTGTCACACGCTCTGATTCTAATAGCTTACTCCAAGAAGTGTAGGGGAAAAGCTTGAAAGAATAAATCTCAACGAACAGTATTAGTGTTACTTTGTTAGTTGGCTTGTTGAGAGAATCGTATTCATCACATGTCGCACCTTCTCCAGTATTAGTGTTACTTCATGGAGGCAGCGATGAAGTTTTAGGAGAGAGAAGATGAGAAGGAGAAGAAACACGATAATGGATTTTCCTGCTAAACGCGGAAATGTCGTAAGCTTTGATTCGGTGCTTTAAAAGGGATTCCGCTAGGAACTCGGTTGCAGCGTTCTGAAGATTCAGGCAACAACTTGGAAGTGGAAGAAGAAGAGAAAAACAGTAAGATATCTTCTTCATATCTTCGTTTTCATCTGTTTTTGGTTCTCTTAGATTGACCTTACAGATTTACAGAGGAGACACACATACTCTCTCTCCTGAAACAGAAGAGAGATCGGAGGAGAGAGAGGGAGAGGGAGAGAGAGAAATGTGGATCCGCTGTTCGTATAAGCTAATGGAAAAGGGTTTTTGTCTCACGGTCATAGTACAGCAGCGGTCTTTGTCGCAAAATAAATTACAGGGGTCTTTATAATTTACCTTAAAGTATTAATAAAATATAGTAGTGAAAATGTTATTAAAGTAATAATAATAAATAATATATTAATAAAATATTCATAAATTAATGATCAATTTTAAGATATTAATTATTAAAGAATAATAATAAAATACTAATAAAATAATAATTATATATTCATAAAATATTAATAAAATAATAATAAAATAATAAATAGATTAATACAAAATTGAAAATTTTCAATTGATTCCAATTCCAACTTCCAATGAACCAAATTGTAACAATCCGAATCCAATTCCAATTCCTGATTAAACCAAATAGGCATCAAGAATAGATCATTTTGATTCCAATTCTGGTCTTACCTATGAACTACCCTAAATCTTGAAAGGAAAGCTACGACTGTTATCCTTTTATCTCTTCCTCTGACTCAGAAGCAAATAATATCATTCGATGAACTCTCAGCTGTCACCCCACCCATAATCTTCAATAGTTATTGGCTAGTTTTCCAAATGACCTGATCATTTGCTAAAGTGCAATTTATAACAGAAAACAAAAAAAGAAAAGAAAATGCTCTTTGGCTTTATTTGTAAATTCTCTACAAAAATAATGATATATACCTACGGATATTTTTATCGATGGATATCTTATCGGTATAAATCTATCTATTACGATGGTTGTTAATTTCTTTTGCTATAAATAAGGTTCAAAGTATTAATACTATACGTCCGATACGAGATGTATCGTATCGTAACTTTTGAAAAAGATACGGTCTGAAATGCCTGTTTCCAAGTGTTTCAGATCCCCATTTTTTTTAATAATAAAAAATATCTTATAAGCTTCCCAAAAACTAAACTTTGAAAAAACTAAAAAAAAAAAAGTATGTATCAACCGTTTCTAAGTACCGATACGATACAACTGATACTCGTATCATATCGATACTTTGAACCTTGGCTACAAGTATTAGTGGTTATATACCGACGGATTATCGATCCATCGCTATATCCATTTTATACAAACCCTTAGATGTTATATCAATGGTTTCTTTCTGTAGATCTATTCTATAATTAATTATCCATTTTGCCTAATTAAGATTAGCTAAACTTGATGCCTGTTCAGTGAACTGTGAAACCATCAACAGTTGTAGATCTAACCTTTGATCAATGGGGGCAGGGTATCCAATGGGTAGGATGGATGCCTAATAGGGATGAGGAAAATTGTCATCTCTAGGTTTGAAGAGACAAAGTGGATAGATGAGATTGAGTTGTCAATTGATGTGAAATGAAAAAGAAAAAAAAAAAACAAAAATGGGAGAAAAAATGTGAAACTTAAAACCATGAATCCCAAACCTCATAACTTGGTCAATATGGAATATAGAGAGATATAGATGTCATTCTTGCATATATTTTTATCTTTATTTCTTACCTATTCACCTCTAAAAAAATGACCCCAGATATTTAAGAAGCCAAATTTTATTTTAACCCCCTATTATTTTATGAGTGGGGGAAATTATAAAAAAATTAAATTTCTTCATAATTCTCATAATTATATAAAACATTTTTTTAAATTTCAATGGGGGCAATTGCCCACACTGACTTCTACATAGATTTGCCACTAACCATTGATAATGTTCCACACCAATAAAAAATTTATAGGCCCCATTGTGAAAAATGTGAGTCCCATGTATTTTATCACTGGTGTGAAACATTACCATTGGTTCCACATCCCATTGAATAGCCATCGCATTCAGCTAATCCTTCCAACTCTCTCTCTCTCTCTCTCTCTCTAACCTTAAGACTGTCTCTTTCCATCCATGGCTCAGACTCTCTTCCTCTCCCTTGTCTCTCTAGTTTTCTCTATCCACCTCTCTCCTAGAAAGACCCTGCTCACTTCCCCCTTCTCCTAACACCACTATTATTTATCTATGTAATAGAGGCTTTGCTCTCTATCTCTTTGTTCTCTCTCACCCTTCCTTTGTTCCAAAAACCAATCCTCCATCTACCTCTCCCTTCTCCCTAACACCACTATTATTTATCTATGTAATAGAGGCTTTGCTCTCTATCTCTTTGTTCTCTCCCACCGTTCCTTTGTTCCAAAAACCAATCCTCCATCTACCTCTCCCTTCTCCCTTCTCCCTAGAAATACCACACCCTAAAAGCACAAGAACTAAAAGCATAGGAGACAATCATCATCAATCGCAACATTCCTGTCATTACTATCTAGGGGTGAGCATTGTTCGATTAAAACCCAAAAACCAAACCAACAATATAATTTCAATTTTGGTTTTTTTAAGTTTGGTGGCTTTTAGTTACTTTGGTTTTGGCTTTGTTTTTCAAGTTAGAAAATTCAGTTAACCAAAAAAACCAAATTAATTGAACTTTATTATCTATATAATATATAAATTAACATATAATACATATAATATGTATAATATATATTAAAATGTGTATATATATGGATGAAATTTGGTTTTAACCAAAATAACTGAAAACCAAACCGGAAATTTTGGTTTTGGTTTTGATTTTTAATTTAAAATTCTGATTTATTCAATACAGTTTGTAACCAAATAAACTGTTTGTTCACCCCTACCACTATCATGCACAAAATAATTAAGTACAAGAAAATAACTAGATAAAAATAAGCTTTAAATGAGGAAATATGGGAACCAGAAACAAACTGGGGTCTCAGCCAACGATAAGTGTTTTCTTCCATTTTGATGTTAGGGAATTTGTTTTTTTATTCTATACTTAGATTGTGGGCAACGGTAAATGTACAATAATCAAATGAACCAAAGTATTAGATGGGTTTTTAAGATGAGTTCATTCAAATAGCATCTCTAGATCACATATTTTCTTGGATTTAAAGGTTTTGATCTAGCTTAGTTGATTTTTCCCTTTCCTGGTCTCCTTTTTTTTTATTTTTGATTTCTATCATCCTATGTATATTACGTGTACCTCCATAGCTCAATCAAATTCTAAAATTAGAAGAATGTAACGACTCGGGATTTTTTGCCCACGTCTATTTACAATACATTATCCTGTGAATTGGGAATATCTTTCCCTGCATAATACTATACAGGAGGATGAAATGTTCTTCATGTGTGACTGCGATGTTATGTGGGTAAATGTGGGCAGGAGATAAAATGTTCTTCATGTGTGACTACAATGTTATGTGGGTAAATGTGGGCAGGAGATAATGTAATCCTATCTAATGCGATTGAAAATTGGGCATGAGTCGAATTGCCACATGAAAGATGGGCAAGGTGACACACTGACACTTGGTCTAGCCGAAAACCACCACTTATCCAAAGTTCAGATGGGCCAAGGAACGGTGACAGGGCACGCTCCCATACACCCAAAGTCTAACATTGGTGCATGCCGGAACACATGACAAATGCCAAAAAAAAAACTTGCCATGACATTGAGGTAAAAACCAACATTTCCAAGTTTTTACATAATGGCAGCCCACAGACCGTTTGGTTGGAGACATATTTTCTGCATGAAGACAAGATGAAAAAGGCAAGAAGTTTCATTTCTATATTCCTAAAATAAGTTTGAATCTTGCTTTTCGTGTTTTTTTTTTTTTTGACAATGTTTTTTGACGAATAAATCTTCCTCCAATCAAATGGGAAAAGGCAAAACCATGAACTGCCTAAATAACCAACAAACTGCGCAGAAAAATGCACCAAAACGGAGCTTTCATTTAACAACAAATTTTTCTATTACTCGTCCACCTCATCTCGAACAATATCACCATCCAAGTTGAAACTTTAGTTTGGTATTTCACATTTTATCATGTTTTTCATTATAATAACGAAACTCCATCAATTTTGCAGGCATTCTACTTTTGAATAAATGAGTTTTATAGCATTCCACATTTAATAACATGCTACTATATATATATATTATCAGTTTTACAATTTATTTTAGCATTTTTATGCTATGATAATAGTTCTTATATAAAAACCACATTCAACATAATATACACTCAAGGGTCCCTTGAGGTAAATTCAGTTTTAGCATTATTATATTACTACAATATTTAAACTAGTGAATGACTCCATACTAAGTACGGGGAATCAATAATGTTAAATAATTTATGAAAATGTATGGGTAGATTCAATGCAGATTTCTGAATTCCACTATAGAGCTATAAACATTCAAAATGTCAATAGCCCCACTCTATGTACACTAATGCCTGCCTGTGAATTGGCATTAATTCTGAGCTGGCACCTAGTCCAACTATACTTTGGGCCTAAAAAATTCTGACCCTGGGCTGAACCGTCATTCTCTCTTAAATTTACATTATGTAATCAATATCGTTAAATTTATATTTATTAATATTTTAAATAATTATTAAAATTTTAAGAAATATTTATTTCAAAAAATAGCTTTTCAATAATTATTAGAATATAGATAGTTTTCTTTTGTTATGATAAGTAGAGGGTTAATGATTAAATGAGATTTTATATAAAAAAATGATTAAATGAGATTGATAGAATGTAGGCAGAAGTTTATATTTTTTGCATTTTTTAGGAATGGATTAAAAATGTTGGTAGTGGGTTGTGGACTTTAACATCAACTTCTTAGAAAATGCCATGTGTCTAGCTTTCTAAAAAAAATGAGAAGGTCATGTGTCTGAATGGTGGGGAGTTGTAGCTTGATAGTGGGTTGTAGACTTTAGTAGGAATTTCTCAAAAATTGTCACGTGTTTAACTTTCTAAAAAATGAGAAGGCCACTTGTCTGAATGGTGGTAGTGGGCTGTGGGCTTTAACAACAACATCTCAGAAAAATGCCATGTGTCTAAATTTGAAAAAACCACGTGTCTGAATGGTAGGGGGTTGTAGCCCGAAAGTAGGGGTGTCAATTAGATTAGATTTGGTCCAATCCGATCTAGTCCAATGTGAGTCCATTATAAATGGATCAGGTCCAATCCAATCCAATCAAATGAATGTTTTGGACTAATTTGGATCAATCCAATTCAATGTCTGGACCATCCAATCTGTTCAAATTCATTTTGATTTAGATTGGTTTCAACCCAAACCCGGCCCACTGACACATATATTCTTATCTTATATCAATAAATCAGATATTGGCTTAATCCAACCCAATCCAATATATATTTGTTACGGACGGACCAGGTCCAATCCAATCTAATAAATATTTTGGACTGGATTGATTCAATCCATTATACCTTGTTGGTCCGTCCAATTCATCCAAATTGATTTTCAATTGGACTGGGTCCAATCCAAAACTGATCCATTAACACCTTTACCTGAAAAGCCTTCCTTTAATATATATATATATATATATATATGGGTGATCTTAATGTAATTATTTCAACTCTTACTCCTTAATTTCCCTTGTCACTTTCATTATTTTAATTCTTCACTCTCATCTTCAAATATTTCCAAATGATTGTTGGTCACATAATAACCACGTTTGCACCCATTTGACGATGAACTGAAATCATCGCTCCCACTTGCAACAAGTGGCAAGTTATAGGGAGGCCACTTGACTTGGATGTTCTTACAAACGTTTTGGGCAAACTAGCAATGCACATGCTCTCCCATCTAAGTGTGCGACATGAGTGGGTATGGAACTATGGATTGAGGATTTCTTAGAATTTAAATGGTCCTGAATCGTGGGCTTGGGCCTGGGCCTGGGCCTGGTGATGTATAAATTCTTCATATCAGCTCCCCGATTTGCACCCCTACTCCCATTTATACCTAGTGTCGATTGAAGTTTGGGCTTGACTGCTCTCAAGGTTGAATTATATCTGAATCTTGCCAAAGTTCATATTTAGTTCTAAAACAATGCCTAAACCCAGCAGTAGCCCGCTGAACTTTGGGCTGAGTGTGGTCTGAGTCTGACCTACCCTAGTTGTATCCTTTCTATCAGCAACAAAACGGGGCACTAAGGTCTAGATTAGCTTAGTAGGTAGTAGGTAAACGTGAATTTGATTTTAACTTCCAAAATGCATATGGGTCAAGGTATCCTAAGTTTCCTGTTATATTCTTCTCTTAAGATCAATAAATGATTTTAATGGTTTTCATCTTAACAAATTAAGAAGTTTAATTCATTTTCTAAGAGGTAAAACCTTGACCAGCCTGGTTTCTGGGGCCAAGACCAACCTGAATATGAATGAAATACTTAGATCAACCAAGGATTATGCTCCAGTTGCAGCGTCCGTATGGACCGTATCTGCTATCAATAAAGACGCTTTCCACCTCTACCCACATTTCACTAAACTCACCACAGCCACACATCGGGAACATCTCCAGCTTCGATTCCGTAAGAGTTGTCAAAGAAGATATTTAGTTTGTACTGTATTTGTTTCCTGGGGAAGCAAAACAGGACTCCAACGCCCCTGAATAAAATGCGTTAAATTATTTGCTTCTATTTTCAGGGTTGTACTTTTGATCGATTTCGTGGCAAAACTGCAATATCCCAAAAGTAGTTGAAAGAAATCTTCGGCCATGAAATAATTTTTCGAAAATATATATTGCACCACACTGTAGACTTGTGAATTTCACTGCAATTTTATACAATTAAAAATGACTCCTTAGATGTTTTTTCTGATTAATACTGAATCTTTTGGGAGTTTGTGGCCTTTTGAACCGTTTGTTTTATACAATTAAAAGTGACTCCTTAGATTTTTTTCTGAATCTTTTGGGAGTTTGTGGCCTTTTGAACCGTTTGGATAGTTGATCATGCATCCATGAATCAATCAACAATTGAAAGGTTAATATGGACTTAGAAGTGAACTCCCACTGAATATGTACAGAAGTTTTTGGAGAATCCACCTGCAACTCTGCAAATTCCTATGAAATAGGACGTATATCAAAACCATGCAAATACAGGAGGGAAAATACAGAACTATCCAGTATCCACTCGAGCTACATCTCGATCCCATGCATGTCTGAGAGATGCAGTTTTCTCAAACAAACAACATCGCAGGAGAGAGAGAGAGAGAGAGAGAGAGAGAGAGAGAGAGTTGGGACTTGAGATTTATAGAGATCCAGACCAGAACACGAACTCCAAATTAAAACAAGAAAGAACAAAGGGATATGGGATACAGAGAGATCCATTAAAAGCAGTCTGAATTCTGAAACCGAAGAGAGGGAAGACCTACAGAGGCCAATTAAATGGACACCGAAACGAAAGAGAGGAATTACAGAGATGTGTCCATTGCATTTTAATTAAAACCACGAAGACCCATTAAAAACAATCTAAAACCTACTAATTACAGAAAATTAGGAAAAAGGTTCCCAGATGGGTAGGGATGTGGGAAAAGTTTGGGGTAGAAGATCTGGAGAGGCAATATGGAAGATCAAATACAAGTGAAAAAGGTTCCCAGATGGGTTCCGATTGAAACTCTATAGATTTTTTTTTTTTTTTTTTATCAAAGGAGAGGAGAAGGAGAAACTCTCGGCAATCGAGATGGGTATTTCTCCATAGAGAAACAGAGAACTGATAACGCTTTTCTGAGGATACCCTTGAGAATTTCTCCTCTTTTGGGAACCAAACGAGGTGCTTCTGACTCTGCGCCACCCCTCAGGATGCCACAGCAGCAACCGGTAGAGACGGTAGCAGCTGTACTGTTGGTTCTGATCTTCTGTTGGGTCAAGTTCGTAGCACTGGTTCCGTTTGGTGCCATGATTTGCCAACTGCCTGGTAACAAAAAACAAACATGTATCAGTGAACGTTTGAACCTTCGGAAAATGAGGAGGGACGAAAGTCGAAACTGAAGAAATAGGAAACCGAAAACCTCTAAGATTCCTCTTCTCTCCAAAAGAAACCACAAAACCCAATTTCTGATCTCTGCTGTGAATTCTGAAACTCTAGACCTTCATCCAACAGAGACGCGCTTTCATTCAACCCCTCCCAACTTTCCTTTGCTCGTCCCTTGTTGGCTCATAGTACGTACATGCTCTTGATCATCGATAACCCGCCAACTTCTGAAATATTCTGATATAAATTCAAAATAAATAATAATACTAATAATTTTTGTTAATATAGTCCTTATTTAATGATAGGTAGATCATATGAGGGAGTAGTATTTATTTCCACCATTGTATTGGAATCTAGACATCCATACCCCACCCTTTATTGTCATGATTGTCACGAATACCTATCAAATGGCAAAAAGGAACCCTTCGATTGAGTGAAACACCCTACAGCTCACTTTGTCTCTAGTCTTGGGCAAATTTTCTGATGTTGCTCCATGAAATTGACAAGAAGATGAGATCAAATCACAAAACATTGGATTAAAGGGTGGGCACCACTCCACAGAAATGGTGGGGAGGGATGGGATGGGATGGAATGGAACTTTTGGAACAGCAACTAAGTTACATATATGCTAGTCAAGGTGAGAAGGTGAGAACCACGAAGTTTCCATTTTTGTTTTATCAATGAAGCTGCCAGGAAGAAAGATCACCGAAAGGTTGGTTCTAATTTCTATTCTTTACTTTTCTTTAAAAGAAGACCATTCAACAAAGGTTGGCTCACATCTTACATCCAAGAGCTCCAAGGGGGAATATGAATTCAGGAAGGAATGCTGCCCAAATCCATGATTTCTCAGACGAGGGAATCCTAACCGGCCAAATCCTCAGCCAAATCAGTAACCAGAATGACTTTCTTTCCCTGTAAGAATGACAGAACCACCATATCTTCTAGAGGAGTTGGTAGCAACAATGGATCTAAGCATTGCCAGGTGACTATTCATCTATCATATTAATTATGTAGCCTTCTTTCCCTTAGTTCTATTATTTTGCTTCTTGCCAGCTTTGCAGCAGTCCTGGTACAACTTTTTTTTTCAGGTCCTCTAGTCTCAACAGATCTCAACTCTCTACCTCAAGGTCCAAGCTTTTCCCCTAAAAGCATCAAAAAATTAAAATAAAAATACTTTCTAAGTTTACTTCATTGCACACATTGCAGAAGCTATCATAGAGGAGGGCTCTTGTAGTCTACGGAGGATCAAGTATCACCACTTTACAAGAATTAGCAAAAACAAATTCTTAGTTTCTAGAACTATAAGCATTTTATTCATTCATTTATTTATTTATAATGGAGCTAATAAAATGTTTGAAGGATATATGGAATGACAAAAGAAGTGAACTATAGAAATCTATATATCCCCCAATAGAGAATATATAAAAAAGTGGATTATAGATATTTTTATCCCTTATCTAAGCAACATATAATAGACATAAAAAAGGGCATATATGTCCGTTACTCTCACTCTAAAAACTGTCCATTCATATGTGTTACAACTATATGCCCCAATCAACTCTTACAATTGATATCTATATCTATACTATATTAAAAGTACAATTGATATCTATATCTATACTTATAATTAAAACTTTTTTTCACTAAAATACCTCAATTTTTTCTTTAAGACAAAAATATAATTTGAATTGCTATTTTGCATCCCATTCAAATCTCTTTCATTAAGATCATGTTTGGTAGCACTAAATAAACTTTTGAAAGCTGAAAATATTGTTTTTTCAGGTCGTTCGGATGCATCATTGAACTGTTCCTTTGGATGCCGAAAATCTCATAACCGTTCAGTGATTAAGATACCTCCGAGCGCATTCGGAGGTAGCGGACGAAACTTCACTTCCAACTGTGCCCAAAATCTCAAAATCGCCTACACTAACGGTGGTGACTGGTCTCCCCACTATTCTTGAGTTTTGCATTTTTCTGTTTGTCCCATGTTTTTCAATGACCCGTGACCACCATCTAGTTTTTTGGTTGATGAGGGTTGATTTGGCCTGCCAATTCTAAAGCACCACGTGGCATGTCTTAACTATTAGATTACACTTCGGTGCCACATGGGGCAGGTGGATGGAGTTGAGACGACTTAGGCTGACTTACCTCCGAGCTGAGGAAGAGCGATAGATCGCTTCGTGGAAGGGTGGCACACACACCAACTCTGGATCTCCAGCCCACAGGAACTCTATCTATGCCTACTCACAAAACACTATATCCCATGAATTGGGAATATCTCCCCTGTATAATATTATGTAAAAGATGAGATATTCTCTATGTGTGATTGCGATTAATGTGGGCAGAGTTCTCGTGGGCAGAAAATCTGGACTCACACACACCACCTCGAGAGGACAAGCCAAAGACCTCAGAGGCCAGCATGACTTCCCCAACCTAGGCAGATGAAGACCTGAGTAGTGAGAAGAACTTCTGGGGTACCAACCTACCGACCAAGTGGCCGAATGTTCTTATCCAGAATGTAGCATGTCAACTACCCAGTACACATATCTCCGGTTCCTGCACAATTCAAGAAGATCGTATTTGGATCACCGCCAACATGGAAGAAAGGCACTCCAAAGATAACAGACCGATAAGGCAGACTGTTCCCGGGTATCTCAAACACGGAATACGGATCCTGACATCTATAAAAAAGGACGTCAGAAGGTACTTGTAATCTGTTCCAACTATTCACCTTTTGCTCTTTTTCATGTTCTCATCGCTGACTTAAGAATCCGAGTACCCAATTCAAGATTGAGCTCTTTTTCATGTTCCTGCCCACCAGAACTCTACCCATATTTATCATAATCATATATGGAGAATATCTCATCCCCTGTATAGTATTACGGGGGGGAGATGTTCCCAATTCACGGGGATAGTGTATTGTGGGTAGGCGTGGGCCGATCTCATCAGCCCATCCGTCCGTGCTGTTATCCAATAGGGAGATCAGCAAATTCCTGCTACAACACTGGTCTCCCCACTATTCTCTTATCCCCTGTGACTGTCTTCTGTGTTTTTCGGTTTATTCTTTACTTTCCGGTGACTGGTGACCACCGTCTCATTTTCTAATTTCAATCTTTTCTCCCCTATATCAAGTGACCACTGTGTTCTGCGTTTTTCGGTGACCAGTGACCACCTTCTCATTTTCCCGTCTCTCCACTATTCTCTTCTCCCCTGTAGCTAGTGACCACTTTGTTATACATATTTTGGTTCCCCTCTAGTTTTTTCTTGCGCACGGCAGCCATTCTATTCTGCATTTTCAGAATGAAGAAGAAACTTCTTTTTAGTTTTTTGAAAGAAGAGGAAAAAAAAGAATAAATAGGGGAGAGATGGGGGATGACTAAAGAGGAGAAGGATAAAAGAAAATGAAGGTAGAAAATGAGAAAGAGGGGAGAGGTGGGGGAGAAGAGCGGCTGCCACTACTCTCATGCCACCGCCCTAAATAAGAGATGAGATGGGTGTGCTCAAGTAAAACAATTTGGTAAAAACTTTCCTTATGTGTGCCCCATGTAAAAATGAATCAAAATTTATTTCTCCATGTACCCTATTTTTATCTTCTTCTTGCCACCAAGCACTTTTTTTTTTACTTCATTTTATTTTTTTAATATTTATATTTTAAACTTATAGTTTACCTTTTTTCTCTCCAGAATTCCAATTTTTTCTATAAATAAATTAATATGTTTTTATAATATTTAATAAAATATTATAACATTTGTTCAATTAATATTATTTTTATAATACTAATATTATTATTAATTTTTAATCTTATTTATTATATTTTAATTTATTAATGTTATTGTTTCTTAATATTTATTTTTTATTATTTTATGATATCATAATTTTTAATCATTTTCTTTATTGTTATTTAAATGACAATTTGAGGGGTAAGTTTGTAAAATGCACATTTTTCAAGTGACAAATTATTCAGATAGTCAACAACCCCACTATATTTGGATGCCTACAAAAGCAAAAAAGCAAATTTTCTACTTAATTTTTAGAGCTTTTTCAAAGGTTTTTCTGCTTTTCAGACTTCACACTTCAAATTTACTGAACACCACGTACCTAAGTCTTATATTTAAGGTATTAACTATCCCATTCTTTCTTATTAAATCCTATATCTAAGGTATTTTTCTCACCAATAAATTCTACTAATTAGATCTATATCTAATATTTTAACAATATAAAACCCATGTTTCTTTAAACTGGCCCAGAGATAAGACTATTTTTCCATCCAAGTGGTGAGTAAAAATTCAACCAAAAGTTCAAATGGGTCAACACATGATGTCATGGTAAAATAATAAAATTTTTAAAATAGAAATAAGTACAAAAATATAAAATATTTTGTAGAAAAAATTGGGCATACATTTGTTTATATTAATATGAAAAATAAGTAAGATATTCGTAGGCCACAACTCATTCTTTTCCCTTTTGGCTGTAAAGTTACATTTGTTTATAGTGCAACTTGCACTAATACAAATACGAAAGAGTGCAAATTTGGGTTCATTCTTGTTATAGGATTTACTTCTCTTAAGCCTCGGCTTCATTTTCAAAGCACAGGAACAAAATAAAGTAACATCCATTAAAAAAATGAGCTGGAATTTTCTTTCAATTCATCTACACTCATATTTTTACACGGTACATTGCAAACAAATCAAGCCTTAACTTGTATTTGTTTGCAATACAAATTTGAATGAGAACAAATTTTGGTCTTCATTCCATTTGCACCCATCTGTTTGTGATTATTATTTGCACCCTTACCTGATGCAAAATTTGCACATTTTGACTCATTTGCATTTATTAACAAAGCAAATTTTACATCTAAAAAACGATGCAAGATTTACACCACATCATTCCACCTTAATTCTCTCATATGAAGTGGTATGTGGAGAACAAATCAGTTTACTTCCAACCTTGCTTATAAACCTTCTCGCCGTCTGATGTTTCTTTCATTTATTTAAATTGGGGACCCCATCATCTTACTTCTACTTTACATCTTACAAACAAATAAAATAAAGTCATGGACCTAAAACAAAAGCAAGGCAGACACATAACCCAGCCTCGGCCTAGGCTTACGTTTCAAGCCCTCAACCCAAGCTGACCCAGGCCCAGGCCCAATATATAGCCCTTTATTACTAGTGTATATAGGGATGGCAATTTCTCCCATAAAATCAGGGCCTGCCCTGCCCCGCCTCGAACGGGGCAGGGATAGGGAAAATAATTTTTCTCTGAATTGGGTATGGGGTGGGGACAGATTTTATATATAATTCCTCGAACTCGCCTTGAATCCGAAGATAAATTAATAAAATATCTCTAGGTTTAATATTGATATTTAAAATATCTCTACGTTTTTCTTAAATTTTTAAAATACTAGGATCCCATAATTTTATTTTTGAATTATCCCTAAAGTATTATAATTCAATTCTAAAATACCCCCAAACTCATATATCCTATGTATAAATTGTCCAAAAAATAGATAATTTTTAAGTAATTGCCTTGGAGCGGAGAAAATTCGGGGATTCTCCGTCCCCAATGGGGAATGCATGCCCCGCCCCGCCACTAGGACGGGGCGAGTACGGGGCAAGGTATTGTGACTTCGGAGCAGGGACAAGGAGGGGGTGCCCATTAAATAAAATAAAAATTATTGGGTAAATTACAAAGACCCCATGTACTATGGGATCTGTGAGAAAGACCCCCCTGTACTTTGTTTTGCAAAAAAAGACCCCCCTGTACTATGACTAAACCTATTCATGGGCCGGGCCGGGCTTTTTCTCTTTATTAACATAAATTTTTCAGGCCCGAGCCCAGCCCGACCAATGGGCCTAAAACTTTGGCCCGAGCCCGGCCCTCATAAAAAGCCCAAAGCCCAACCTGGGAGTCTGAGCGCCGGTGCCCTCTGAGGATTGAGAGAATGGTGCCTGCTGAGTTTGCCGATTCCTAGGAGTCTGAGAGTGAGAATAGAAACTGAGAAAGTGAGAAGATAGAAGATGACAACAATGTCAGCCAAAGAGAGAGAGAAAGAGAACTCACCGCTCGAGAGAGAGAGAGAGAGAGAGAGAGAGAGAGATGATCTAGATCTGGTGGCACTAGTCGTCGGTGCCTGAGTTCGCAAAATGAAAATGGTGCGCCTGGATTCTGGTGGCACCAGCTGGAGAGAGAACTAAGAAGATAGAAGACCTAGTTCTAAGAAGAGAGAGAACTGAGAATTAGAAGAAAGAAGATGAAAACGGTGCTGGCTGGAGAGAGAGAGAGAGAGAGAGAGATCACCACCGAAGAGAGAGATGACTACTTCTGGTGGCGTTGGCTGCCGGTGACTGAGTTCGTAGGTGTAGCTGGGTTCGCCGGTTTTGAGAGTTGAGAGGGAGAAATGAGAGCCGCTTCTAAGAGTGAGAGTGAGAAAGGAGAATGGAAAGAATTTTAAGTATTTAGGATTAGGGTTAGGCAGTTTAGGAATAGTCGGGCCGGGCCTTTTTAACAAGTCCCAAGCCCAACCCGTAAAATAGTCGAGCTCGGTCTTTTAGGCCCGAGGTCAAGCCCGCGGACTAAAACACATGCTCAAGCCCGTATGGGTTTCAGGCCGGGTCAGTCCGGTCCGTCGGGCTACCCGGCCCATGAACAGGTCTAACTATGACCATGAGACAAAGACTCCCTTCTGTTAACTTTCCGTTGAATTCCACCGTTATAATATTTTTTAATCTCCATATTACCCTTCTAATAACTATTTGTACAATTAGGAGAAAAATATTGTTCATCTTCTTCCCCAAATTCGCGATGCACCGAACAACATTCTCACATTTCTCTCTCTCCCTCTCCCCCGATCTCTCTTCTTCCCCTTCCCTTCTCTCCTCCCCTTTCTTCCTCCCACGACAACACCTTCCAACCTATTTCGTCAAAAATCATCTTCACCACCGTTCCATCGGGTAACATGTCATCCTCGCTGCCTCTTGGTGAATGGTGTCCCGGGAACCAGTGGGTATAGCCTCATGCTCTCGCAAAAAGATGCATGAGTTTAAACCATATTCTTCACCTAAGGGTGACTTAGATGAAGCCTGCAATCTGGAACACCCGGACTTCGATGAGTCAACTAGAGATGAAGCTTGCAATCTGGAGTAGGGTGCAAAAGAGCTTCTTGAACGTGTACTAACTTTCCTCCCTCTCAAACCTTCTTGAGTCTCCGTTCTACTTGTAAGCGCTTCAATTTCTTTGCTCTTCTCTGTCTTTTTATCTCCATTCACTCTTCTTCTCAGCTCGGAGTTGGAGACAAAACCCAAGCTCATCCACACTTCTCTTTTCTTCTATTTTCTAACCCTAAAATTTACCACGAGTTCATTCACTTTGATTTTACGCCGCCTATGTGGCGCACCCTCAAACTACCCTCGTCCTTCGCACCATCCCGCCTTCTCTCCACCTCCAACAACCTCCTCTACTCCTCCCCACGATTCATCTACCTTCTTTGTTCAAAATCCCCTATCTAGATACTCAAGACTCATCGAGTTTCCAACCCACCCTTTCTCATTCAAATCGGTCTCTCTCGTCCCCTCATCGTCAAACGGATACAAGATGGTTGTGCTCTCTTCTAGGTCCTTTTCGAATTCTGTTTTCGTTTATGACTCAACCTCCAATTCATGGAGCCGATTCAAGGGCTTTTGCCATATTCTTAGCGAGAATTCTCACTAGGAAGGGATATTCTATAATGGGCACCTGTATTTTATGATTATGAAGCCATTCTCCATAGTGGGTTTTGATTTGGAGATGGGGAAGTGGG